TTAGCTGATTTAAACTAGGGGGTTCAATTGAACATTAAGTAACTGACAGTTGATGAATTTCATGACATATTAGAGGGGACGCAGGAAGAAAAAAGCAAGCTGTTGCACTCCAATGACATCACATAAGTCCTGGTTTATTAGAAATGACAACCAAAAAGACAGTCCCCACCCATGAGACCTCCCCTCTAACCCTTTTTTACCAAACAGGGCTTACTCAAAGTAACAAAAGGCATTGGATAGAAGGCCCCATGGGGCGGGGACTGTCTTTGTGGATGTCAGTTATAATAAATCAGGATCCATGTGATGTCACTGGAGTGTGGTGGTTTGTTTTTTTCTTCCTGTTTGTTTGGAGAGCAGTTGGCTATATATTCCGCTTGCACCCGACACCTGAGACAGTGCGGGAGGATTCGGCTTGGAGAAAATCATTACACACCTCCACTACATATGTCAGAAGGGACTTTTGGAAACAACCGCCAAAGTCCTTTTTTATGGTGAGTGAGAACAAAGAATTATTTTGATATGGTGATATAGGTCCTTCCCATGTGCTTGACTTGAAAGTATGGAAAAAAGGGTTGTACCATGGTTCTTCTTGCCTGCCTCTCTATCACTATTGTATTGATTGAGGGGCTGGCTGTAGGAAACAGAGCACACAGTAGGAAATGCATGGAGGTAGGAGATATTCAAAGTGTTGAATGCTAAAGACTTTTCCAGAGATAGTACTGCTTGAAGAGAGCGGAGTTCAGATTTGCCACACCCTGCAGCGGTACATATTCAGTGTTTTACAAGAGCAAAGATTTGTTTTTCGTTTTTTAGCCACAAAGTCTAGATATCCCATAAGAATGGAAAATCTAGAATCAGTGGGAGGAAGGAACACAGGGAAGGAAGAGACCCAGGGACTTAAACCAACAAGAACGAAGATGAAACTGGCCAAGAAGCTTTGAGTGATTAATTAGGAAATACAGACATGATGTCCAGTTGGGTTATAGTTATATAAATCTTGGTTCTCAGATAAGACTTATTTATAATGTTTTTTATTTATTTATTTGTATGTTAATGTAGAACTGGCCTTTATAGACTGTGGCTCATGTCACTGTGTACAATATACATTTTTGGTGTATAGATTTGTTGTGTGTTCCTCTTTCACTGACAAATAACTTCTGAATTTGCAGAAGAACATCATCACTGAATAACATTTGTATACATTTTGTGTGCCTATTATCTATAATTCTCAAAAAAATAGAAATGCTGTACAATGCATGAGGACACATTTACCAGGTACGAGCCCCAATGCAGCTGTTTTTTAATCCACCACAGTTAAATATACTCCTGTTTATTCTGTAAATCCCCCCGGAAATGTACGCCCTAATTAGACGTATAAATATCGAGGACAAATGCACTCCTTCTGTGCCCCTCAGAGATGAGAGGTAAAAATAGCTGATTACATCTCTGTCAATTCACGCTGATCTTTTTCACAGCAGGTGATAACACCTCACCACATCCAACTGAAAGAACGTATATGCACATGATGCTCTGCCTGTTAAAACATCTTTACACATTCCCATGGCTCAGTACAGTAAGCAGAATATATTACACTGTGATGGCAACACCCCAGCAGGGCCATATTTAGAAATCATGATGCCCCCTGTATGTTCTTTATAAAAACAGACCTCTTGGTTTTTTTGGATTAGGGTTTGGTGCCAGAAATTAATATTATTATTATACAGGATTTACAGTCATGGCCGAAATTGTTGGCACCCTTGATATTTCTCCAGGAAATCATGTATTCTCACGAAACGTATTGCATTAACACATGTTTTGCTATACACATGTTTATTCCCTTTGTGTGTATTGGGACAAAACAAAAAAAGGGAGGAAAGAAAGCAAATTCGACATAATGTCACACAAACCTCCAAAAATGGGCTGGACAAAAGTATTGGCACCCTTTCACAACTGCGGATAAATAAGAATGTTACAAGCATGTGATGCTCCTGTAAACTCACCTGGGGCAAGTAACAGGTGTGGGCAATATAGAAATCACACCTGAAAGCAGATAAAAAGGAGAGACGTTCACTTAACCTTTGCATTGTGTGTCTGTCTGTGCCACACTAAGCATGGACAACAGAAAGAGGAGACGAGAACTGTCTGAGGACCTGAGAACCAAAATTGTGGCAAAATATCAACAATCTCAAGGTTACAAGTCCATCTCCAGAGAACTAGATTTGCCTTTGTCCACAGTGCGCAACATTATCAAGAAGTTTGCAACCCATGGCACTGTAGCTAATCTCCCTGGTCGTGGACGGATGAGGAAAATTGATGAAAGATTGCAACGCAGAATAGTCCGGATGGTGGATAAGCAGCCCCAAACATGTTCCAAAGACATTCAAGCTGTCCTGCAGGCTCAGGGAGCATCAGTGTCAGCGCGAACTATCCGTCGACATTTAAATGAAATGAAACGCTATGGCAGGAGACCCCAGGAGGACCCCACTGCTGACACAGAGACATAAAAAAGCAAGACTACAGTTTGCCAAAATGTACTTGAGTAAGCCAAAAGCCTTCTGGGAAAACGTCTTGTGGACAGATGAGACCAAGATAGAGCTTTTCGGTAAAGCACATCATTCTACTGTTTACCGAAAACGGAATGAGGCCTACAAAGAACAAAACACAGTACCTACGGTAAAATATGGTGGAGGTTCAATGATGTTTTGGGGTTGTTTTGCTGCCTCTGGCACTGGGTGCCTTGACTGTGTGCAAGGCATCATGAAATCTGAGGATTACCAAAGGATTTTGGGTCGCACTGTAGGGCCCAGTGTCAGAAAGCTGGGTTTGCGTCCAAGATCCTGGGTCTTCCAGCAGGACAATGACCCCAAACATACGTCAAAAAGCACTCAGAAATGGATGGCAAAGAAGCGCTGGAGAGTTCTGAAGTGGCCAGCAATGAGCCCAGATCTAAATCCCATTGAACACCTGTGGAGAGATCTTAAAATTGCTGTTGGGAAAAGGTGTCCTTCCAATAAGAGAGACCTGGAGCTGTTTGCAAAGGAAGAGTGGTCCAAAATTCCGGGTGAGAGGTGTCAGAAGCTTATTGATGGTTATAGGAAGCGACTGATTTCAGTTATGTTTTCCAAAGGGTGTGCAACCAAATATTAAGTTAAGGGTGCCAATACTTTTGTCCAGCCCATTTTTGGGGGTTTTGTGTGACATTATGTCATATTTGCTTTTCTGCCTCTGTTTTATATTTGTTCCAATACATACAAAGGGAATAAACATGTGTATAGCAAAACATGTGTTAATGCAATACCTTTTTTGTGTGAAATACTTGATTTTCAGGAAAAATATCAAGGGTGCCAACAATTTCGGCCATGACTGTATATAGCATCAACAGTTTGCACAATATAAAGGGGGACAGTACAATTACAATACAATTCAATACAGAAGGAGCTAGTAGAGCTTACAATCTAAGGGAGGGGGAGCTGGTACAAAAGGTGATAGCTGCGGGGGATGATCTGATGGAGGTGACTCAAGAATAGTTCTTAGGTGGAGGTGTGGTAGGCTATCCTGAATAAATGAGTTTTCAAGGATCGCATAAAGGCAGAAAAGGTAGGAGCTTGTGGGAAGGTCCAGTTGCAAAAAAACTTGAGACTTGTATTGAGCAGAACGCCAAAGTTACAAACACCCTAGCGGAGAGCACTGCTTAGGAAAATAAATCACAGTTCAATGCAGTTAAAGTCAGAGATGCCAACAGATGAAGTCCCTCTGAAACAGTCCGAAGTGGGGAGACTGCTTTCCAGGATAGCGCGTCCCTAGCCTTTCCTTTCTTGTCTGGAGCCTTTCCTTACCGCTAGTCACTTTCCCTAACTAGCGGGGCCTCTCTCCCTTCACTAGCCACTCTTAAAATGTGGGCCAAATCAGGAGTAATGACCTAAATAGACTCTGCTGACCCAAGATGGCCACCAAGGTTCACATGGCCACAGCGTAGCCAACCGAAACGCTGCTCCAATGACCCAGGAAACCACAGAGAAACTGTGTTTCCCCCTGACTTCCTCTCCAGGCTGTGGTACCACACACGTCGAGTACCACCTACAGTGGAGAAACCAGACTGCACCTGCCTACAAGTTTATAGAACATACTGGGGTAGGGAGTTCCAGAGGATGAGACAGATTCTAGAAAAGTCCTGGAGGTTAGTGTGGGAGGAGATAACAAGGGAGCTAAGGAGCAAGATGTCTTGGGAGGAGCAAAAAGGATGATTTGGGTGATATCTGCAGATAAGTTTGGCGATGTAGCTGGGGTAATAGTTGTGGATGGCTTTGTATGTTGTATTAGTACTTTAAATTTTTTATGTTGGGGTAGTGGAAGCCAGTGAAGAGATTGGCAAGAGAGGGGCAGCAGTCACAAATCGGTTAATAAGGTGTATTAGTTCAATTAGTTCAGCAGCCGCATTCAGAATATATTGAAGGGGGGATATCCTGTGTAGTAGTAGGCCAGTGTTGCAGTAGTCAAGGCGGAATATAACAAAGAAGTGAATAAGTTATTTTGTGCTGTCGATAGGAGGGAGTGAATTCTGGAAATGTTGCAGAGGTTAAGGCGCATCATAGCAAAGCAGCTTGCTATGGGGGCACTCGGCAGGTAGGAGGAGTCAGGAACTTAAGAAGGAGACCCTAGGAGAGGAGAATAGGGACTGCTCTGTGCAAACCCATTGCACAGAGCAGGTAAGTATGACATGTTTGTTATTTTTTTTTAAATTCCCTTTACAATCACTTTAAATACCTATCCTTCATGATAAAGAAGAACAAGCTAATTATATGCTATGGATATCACAGACAGTTTTTCTTTCCTACACATTTATAGCTACAACCAGTTGAGCTCTGGTAGATGAATTCTTGTACATTGTTCAGACATATTTAGTTGAGTATTAGAAAGTCAAATTTGTAAAATAAAAAATCATAGTTACTCACATTGCTCTGGTGTTTGTTTACTTCCATTGCATGCTTTAAATCAGGAGGCTCAAGCATTTGCGCATAATTTGATTTCCCCTTCTCTGCATCATATTTCTGTTTGTATAAAACCTGCACAAAAAAAAAGCATCAGTCATCTCAAACTCAACCCAAACTACAGGAGCTACTTTAACACAATCTTCAGCTACAATACTACAAATGTTAGTAATTAATCACAGGCTATCATGGAGTGATTGCAGGTAAACCTAACTGTCCATTGCAGCAGAAGTCATTGGTGACCAGGTTGGACCCACTGATTGTGAAAGGCTTCTACATAAATGATTCTTAGTAGCTGTCAATTCTCAAAGCAAGGAATGAAGTAAAATGGACCTAGCATCAGATATATTATTTTATGTTAAGTGCATGCATGCTAAGTCATGTGTACGTATAAGACTTCCAAGTATTTATTACCCCATCCAAAGGTCACCATAAACCTCCTGACAATGTCTTCATCTTCTTTTCTCTTCAGCAGGATGAACCACCTTTGTTCAGGCATCATCCAGAGTAAGCACCTAATTTCTGAGTTGTTGGCCCAAAGGTAACATAATCATGTGCAGTATATCCTCTAAGGAACTATTGGTGAACTTGATGCTTTCCCCAGATTAATGCACACAAATCCAGGCACATACCATTTTCTTCACCCTTTCTCTGGCTCAAGAAACATTATAGAGGTGTCTTTTTTAGGGTGTTATTGGAACGCCGAACTTGAATGGGGTGAGGGGGAGCATGGGATACCCTGAAACTGATGAAATGGACACTTTGAGGACTCCTTAGCAATGTAGCTGAACTGTACAAAAATGTCCCACAGAATCTCTCTGCTGACGCTGACTATGTCTTCTCCAAGAGAACAAAAGATACACACAGTCACTGGAGCTTCAGCACTGGGGTCATCTACGCAATCAGCCACAGGATCAATGGTTGCCTCCTCCCAATTACCACCAGGCTCTTCTCAGTGAGGGAGATGCAGACTTACAACATCATAGGACAGCTGGACTTTCTTTCTCCCCAACTTCCTCTTGGTTCTCTCCAGTGAGTTTCTCCAGACCCAACCTGATTCCAGGACTAAGCTTACAGAGATGCCCCCAGCTAAATTTAGTTGGGACTTCAGTGTCTTCACAAAGACTTCTCTAGCACCCCTGCACAGGGGTCTCCTCCAGCAAGCCAGGACCCAGGAACACTGCTCACCTTCCTCAGGTCTCAAACTACATATGGGCTTCTCAACCCCCTACTGAGCACACCTCCCCAGAGATTGGCTGAAGTGCCATCAATATTCTGCCTACTTACTTGTTCTTATGCAGGCCATAGTTCTTAATTCGGCCGATCCCACTATAATTTAGTAGAATCCTCTAGAATCCATGGGGGAAGTTTTCCGAAAATCAAACCTGAAGCAGCTTGTGAAACACTGAGCATTTTCGCCGTTAATCGAAACAATCAATCTCCTGCTCCACTGAATACTGGGGAGCAAACTAAATTTACCTAACAACAGCCTTCACTGTACTACACATGTAATTTTGGCCCCAAACAGTGCGTAGCTGTGTTCACAAATGTCTGTCACAGATAAGTGCCTGCTGTGGCTTCCCACCTTGTCAGTTGCCACAATTTTACAATGTTGCAGTCTGATAACCAGAAAACAGGTGACTGAGGAAATGCTGTCTTCTGCCTATAGCAGACTGATTATATAATATTAGCCTAGACAAAGTTACTTGCCTAGACAACAAGGACTACTTGCAGGGTTTCTAAAATATTATACGGTTTCCTTATATTGTGACATGTCAGAAATCTATTAATGTGGACTTACAAAATTAATGAAAGGTTAATTTTCACAAAGGAATGCTGTTAATTGGACACTATCTACTACATGGGATGGCTGCATCATTCAGAGAACTTCTATTGTGATATTTTGCATAGATTTTTTGCCCCATCACATCAAATTTTCCAGATCCCAATGTGCTGGAAAAGTCCCATCCATGGAGGCCCCACCTTGAAACTTACAGGACCTAAAGGATCTTCTACTGACAGTTTGATTCCAGGTACCACACCTTCAGGAGTCTAGTGGTGCCCATGCCTCGACAGGTCAGGGCTGTTTTGGCAGCAGAAGGAGACCTTCTTAATATTAGGTGGGTGGTCACAAAGTTATGGCTGATCGGTGTATGGTGCTAATGCTGCCTCGATGGGTCAGGACTGTTTTGGCAGCAGAAGGGGGGCCTTCTTAATATTAGGTGAGTGATCATAAAGTTACGGCTGATTGGTGTAAGGTGCTTATGCTGCCTTTCTTTAACTGAACTTCCTTTGTAGGGCTTGATCTTGCTTCAGTAAAGTCCATTCAGTTGGAACTGTTGTGTCGGCGCTTGTTGTGTCCAGTATAGGTCATCATTGGAAACTGTAGGAGAACCCAAAGGTTCCAGCAGCTCCCTAGGGAGTCAGAGCTACAGTACATAAGCAACAAGCAAAGTGTTCCTCAAGTTATTAGCCATTGTCACATCCGGCACCTTTTATTCAGCCCAGTCTTTCTATGAATCTTCTGATTATCCCCTCCTTCAATCTACATGATCCTATAGAATATTTTTAGGTATACAATATTATAGCCTGTGAACAACTTTTTAACAATGGATCAAGTTATGAGAAGATGACTTTCACCACCAGAGCCATCATTTAAGCCAATGCCAGCTGAACTTTATTTCAGTGATGTCATGTAAGTGTGAAATAAGAAATACAGTGTCCATTTCATGACTAATTGTATGCCAGAGATTTATACACACCCCTTATTTATGACAGAGAAAATATTCGCATTGCCAAAAATATCCTTCATTTTTACGACAAAGAGAAAGACATAGTTGTCTGTGGTTCATTTTTCTTCGGCAGATGGCTTTCCCGTGAAATGTGCCTGCCACATTTGTCTGAAGCCTTGTAAATTAATGTAGCATTTAAAAAAAGAAAACTCTGTGTGTCATATTGGTGGGGACGGAGGACAAAGCATTTGCTAGAATACATCACAAGAAGCTGACTTGAGGTCTTTCTTTTTATACTTGGCAAGACATGAGTCTCAACCTCCCTGAGGCTTCTGGGAACTTCTTTGGATACTAAGACATGTCCGTGTTCAAAGTTCTTGAGCCCAAACACTTTGAAACTTCAAATTAGGACAATTCTAAGGCAGCCAAGTCAGAGCAAGATTTTTGGTAGCAAGTTTAATAAAAAATGTATCTAATCTTTCAATTGACACAGACACTCTTAAAATAAAAGTTAACAGAACCTCTCTTTCATAAAGTAACTTTTGGTTGGAAATCTGGAAATAAGATAATGTGTCTTTAAAAATCTGCAGATCATGTTGTGTGCACCCAATCAATACAGCACAAGGAGCTGACTTTTGACCTGAGTGTCACGTTTTTGAGCAGGTATTTTGTCACGCATTTTTGCGCATTTTTTTTGTACAGTGTTTTCAAAGTGTTTCTGAGCTTTAGCATTTTTTTGATAGCCAATAGAAAAAATATCAACTGTTTCATCATTTCTTGCTATGTTTTTCAGCTTTTTTAGCTTTTCCACCCAGCTTATATTTATTTTTTATTATTAATATTAATTTCTTATTATTTTTTTGTTACAGTAAGGGGTTAGAGTGAAGGTTAGGTGTTAGGGTTAGGATTGGGGGTTGGGGTTAGGTTTTGAGGTTAGAGTTAGAGTTAGGGTTTGGGTTAAGGGTTAATATTTTATTTATCATTTCTTTTTTATATATTTATTTATTGCTAGGGTTAGGGTGTTTATTTATCAATTATTAATATAAATATTATTATTATTATTATTACTATTATTATTATTATTATTATTATTATATTTAATTCATTAACTAATGTGTTTTTGTTAGGGTATTTAATTTATGTATTATTAGTATTATTATTAATAATAATAATAATTTTATTGTATATTATTATTATTTTTTTAAAGGTTAGAGGGTTAACGTTAGGGTTAATTATTTATTTATTATTACATAGATTTTATTTATTTATTTTCGATTATTTTTATTTGTTGTGTATTTATTTTATTCATTTAACATGTATTTATTCATTTATTACAGTTTCTCATTGGAGCAGAAAAATGCTTCAAAAACGCACAATAATGTGCAAAACCGCATGAATGGCGTTTTTTATTGATTTCTATGAAATTGAAAATGCTCAAAAATACGCAAATCAACTGATTTGAGTGACAAAAAAAGTATCAAAAGGTGCTTCCAAATACTTGTATAAACCAACAAACACATTTCAGGGCACTTAGGGAATTCTCCTGCAAAGCAAATCTGCCAATAAAACGATCAAACCTGACACGCGTCCAGGAGTGTTGGATGCCCGTGGCCCTCCTTGCATGTTAGTAAGCCCCTAATTAGCCACCAGCAATGGCCATACCCACCAGGGCGCCTTCCATCTTCCCCCTGCAACAGGAAAGAGATGGGGTACCATACGCCTATAGAATGAAGGAATCTACACCATCTTGATTACTCACATGCTCCTGGCCTAAAGCCGACCTCATGAAATAAACAAATGTCCACAAGATTAGCTTTTTTTCAGAGCAGAGTGCATAGTTCTTTCCCTTATATAAGTATGCTGATGCTCCAAAATTTGGCTTGGGCATCTGGGCTTCCAAGACCTCTGGTCATGAAAGGATTAAAGAAGAGATTCTTCTCTACCAGACTGTTATTCCTAAAATGTTAATTAAAAAAAAATCATGCTTCAACCTGACAGCAAACATAAATCCTAGACACAGCTATAAAATCTTTTTAGGCTTAATTAATGATCTTTCCTCTCCCAAATTATAAAAATCCAAGAAACACTTTAAGTTTCATTTATACACCCCTAAAAAGTTATTTTTTAATGCAGTTTTGAGTGGTCACTAGGGGGGATTTAGCTTATGACATAAGGCCAGTATTTATTAATCTTTTAAAGACTTTTTTTTTTCGGGTGTTGCCTGAGAAACCTGGCAGAAGTACAGCATGTAGCTTTCCACAACAAAGATTCTTCTGTGGCTGAGAGCCGTGCCACGGTCCGCCAACTGACTGCGCAAGGTGTCTGCCAGTGTTAGTTTTTGCCACTTGAGTTGTTAGCCAACAAGTAAAATTAAACTCAACATTCTATAAGCAATACAGACTATATATTAACATTTTTTAAAGCAGACCTATGCCCCGATATTATTTTCAAGCTGTAGTAAGAGTCTTGCTGGGATGGACAAATAAATAATAATATGTAGGCGAAATGCCTTTCCTAGATAAATTACTACAGTGTGGCAGCAGTGCGCAAAATCATGTACATTATCTCCCAGAAGTGAGTCCACCCCTCACATTTTTGTAAATATTTTATTCTATCTTTTCATGTGACAACACTGAAGAAATGATACTTTGCTGCAATGTGACGTAGTCAGTGTACAGCTTGTATAACATGTAAATTTGCTGTCCCCTCAAAATAACTCAACACACAGCCATTAATGTCTAAACCACTGGCAACAAAAGTGAGTCCACCCCTAAGTGAAAATGTCCAAATTGGGCCCAAAGTGTCAATATTTTGTGTGGCCACCATTATTTTCCAGCACTGCCTTAACCCTCTGGGGCATGGAGTTCACCAGAGCTTCACAGGTTGCCACTGGAGTCCTCTTCCACTCCTCTATGACGACATGGCAGAGCTGGTGGATGCACCCCTCCACCTTCCGTTTGAGGATACCCCACAGATGCTCAGTAGGGTTTAGGTCTGGAGGCATGCTTGTCCAGTTCATCACCTTTACCCTCAGCTGCTTTAGCAGGGCAGTGGTCATCTTGGAGGTGTGTTTGGGGTCCTTACATGTTGGAATACTGCCCTGCGACCCAGTCCCCAAAGGAGGGGATCATGCTTTTCTTCAGTATGTCACAGTACATGTTGGCATTCATGGTTCCCTCAATGAACTGTAGTTCCCCAGTGCTGGCAGCACTCCTGCAGCCCCAGACCATGACACTCCCACCACCATGCTTGACTGTAGGCAAGACACACTTGTCTTTGTACTCCTCACCTGGTTGCCGACACACACGCTTGACATCATCTGAACCAAATCAGTTTATCTTGGTGTCATCAGACCACAGGACATGGTTCCAGTAATCCATGTCCTTAGTCTGCTTGTCTCCAGAAAACTGTTTGCGAGCTTTCTTGTGCATCATCTTTAGAAGAGGCTTCCTTCTGAGACGACAGCCATGCAGACCAATTTGATGCAGTGTTCGGCGTATGGTCTGAGAACTGACAGTCTGACCTCCCCACCCCTTCAACCTCTGCAGCAATTCTGGCAGCACTCATACAACTATTTTCCAAAGACAACCTCTGGATATGATGCTGAGCACGTGCACTCAACTTCTTTGGCCGACCATGGCGAGGCCTGTTCTGAGTAGAACCTGTCCTGTTAAACCACTGTATGGTCTTGGTCACCATGCTGCAGCTCAGTTTCAGGGTCTTGGCAATCTTTTTATAGCCTAGGCCATCTTTATGTAGAGCAACAATTCTTTTTTTCAGATCCTCAGAGAGTTCTTTGCCATGAGGTGCCATGTTGAACTTCCAGTGACCAGTATGAGAGAGTGAGAGCGAACACACCTGCTCCCCATTCACACCTGAGACCTTGTAACACTAACAAGTCACATGACACCGGGGAGGGAAAATGGCTAATTGGGCCCAATTTGGACATTTTCACTTAGGGGTGTACTCAGTTTTGTTGCCAGTGGTTTAGACATTAATGGCTGTGTGTTGAGTTATTTTGAGGGGACAGCAAATTTACACTGTTATACAAGCTGTACACTCACTACTTTATATTGTAGCAAAGTGTAATTTCTTCAGTGTTGTCACATGAAAAGATAGAATAAAATATTTACTAAAATGTGAGGGGTGTACTCACTACTGGAACATACTGTATATATACGTGATTTTGCATTCCCAGGTAGGGGGCATGCGCGAGCTGCTATTCTCGGCCTCGGCTGACAATCACAGGATCCTGGCCAGTGATTACTCACCGGCATCCAGTGATCACGGAGCATTATCGACAGTGGGAGAGAACTGTATGTAAACAATACAGTTCTCTCCCCTCTCAGCTCCTGCGCACTGTTTTGCATGGCTCTGCATAGCAGAGCCATGTAAAGCAGTGTGCTTACAGTTGACAGCGCTAACACAGCCCACAGTAAAACAGCACACATTTAACCCTTTGATCACCCCACATGTTAACCTCTTCCTGCCCAGTGCTATTAGTACAGCATCAGTGCTTTTTATTAGCACTGATCACTGTATTGGTGTCACTGGGGATGTCGCCGCAGTTCCACAGTCCAGCTATAAGTCGCTGATCCCTGTCATTACTAGTAAAAATTTTAAAAAAAAATGTAAATCCCAGTACATACCGCCATTTGGAGCACTCTGGTGCAGCTCTGCATAGAAACCAATCAGCTTCCAGATTTTATTGCCAAAGCTTAACTGAACAAGCTTAAAGTGTTACGAAACCCACAACAGTAAAATCAGTCTGTATATGCAGTAAAGCATGCTTGTTATACTCCCTGTGGAACCTAAGGGGTTAATCCTCTGCATTGTGTAAAAAGGCTGTTTCATCCTTTCTTCTCTGCTCCTCTTCTTGTTGAAATGACCACCTGATACAGACTGAATCCATAGTCAATGTGCACATGCTCAGTTTGGTGTGTATTGCTATAGAGGTTTTTTTTTTTTTATTGGGAGAGTGCATGTTATCAGCACGGGGCCAATCAGCACTGTCCAGACAGAGGTCAGGGGTTCTGCATACTTGTTATACTCCCTGTGGAACCTAAGGGGTTAATCCTCTGCATTGTGTAAAAAGGCTGTTTCATCCTTTCTTCTCTGCCCCTCCTCTTGTTGAAATGACCACCTGATACAGACTGAATCCGTAGTCACTTGGGAAAGTGCATGTTATCAGCACAGGGTCAATCAGTACTGTCCAGACAGAGGTCAGGGGTTCTGCATCCTCCTAGAGCAGAAGGAAAACTCCTCTTACAAGCTTTAACCAGTGCTCTGCTGAAGTCACAAGGCTACTCTAACTGCTGATGAGAAAAGGTATTTAGCAATTTAAATTTACTAAAATAATTACATTTCCATGTTCTGTGTGATGTGGGAGACCAGATATAGTGAATGCAGGGTCCTGGGTTTAGTAACACTTTAAGTTAGAAGCTGATTGGCTCCCATGCACAGCATCACCAGATCCTGAGTGTTCCAGTTTTAGTACATTTACCCCTTTATATATCCACCTCAAGATGACGGTTAACTTCCATTTAAAGAGACAATGGGGTGGATTCACTAAAGGCAAACAGGCTGATCACTTTGCAAGTGAAGTTGGACTTTTCATGGCAATTTACTTCATAACAGTGAATGGAGGGAAGCTCTGCTGACTTCTATCATCCAATCATGTGCAAGCAAAAACTCTGTTTGTTATTTTCATTGCAGATTATAGGGTACTCGTTGCAAAGTGTAATTTCACCACATTCCCCAAACTCTAGGAAAAATCCCCTTGCAAAGTGTAATTTCCATTTCAAAGTGAACAGCCTAATTTCCTTTGGTAAATCAAAGCTGAGTTCACTTGGCCCATTCAGTGTACATGTAAGATTTACAACACAAAGCCATGGAAATATGTTGTTGCCGGTACCTCGCTCTGGAGCTGGGACACTTGTTTTGCGAAGGCAATGTCTAATGTTGCTGGCATCTGCTTGTACAGGGGGTTGGACAATCCTTTCTTCCCAGCTTCTTTGTATTTCGCCTTGATGGAACAAATGAATAGTAAATGTTACTGATGCTGTGAAGATTTAAACTAAAAAAGATTGAAAGAAATGAACCTTAGACTTGCATTTTCTAAGCAAGCATGTAGGTAGGCACCATGTGTATATAAAGTATGTGAACTCTACTATACAGCTAAAAGCTCTTCTAGCAGCCTTTGCACTAAAGTTTATCTAATCAAAAAACAAAATGTAATCCGTTGCAGTTTACCAGTCCTTAGATGCGGTGGCTGCATTATTTTTATTTTTTTCATTATTTTCACCTGCGGATCCTGCCATTGACACACCTCTTGAATCAGAGTAACAACACTCACTCCCTATACTGTATCAATGTAGCAGCAGGATTGTCACCCCAAACCAGGATTACAGAATACTACCACCCCTTTTTTTCTCCATAACAAAGGAAGGAGGTGTTTTTCAGTCCACAAAGATAGCTGGAAATAATATGGACTGATAAGAGCACAGGCAGAGAGCACAGGACACTATTAGGTTAAATTATTGCCTGGAAAGCTTTGACAGAAAGATATGTCAGTATGCCTGAACCATCCTAGGACATTCGTGAATGATTGTGTTCACCGTTCCCACAGAAAGATTCATCTCTTGTGCAATTTCATGTAGGTTATGCATTGAAGGAACCGGCGTTCCATTGTTGACTCCAGAGAGAGAGATATCATATTATCCCGTACAAATCATTAGTAATACCTCATCTGGAATATGCAGCTCAGTTTTGGGCACCAATTCACAAAAAGAACATTGGAGAACTGGAGAAAGTACAGAGAAGGGCAACCAAACTGATAAGAGGCATGGAGGAGCTCAGCTATGAGGAAAGATTAGAGGAACTGAATTTATTCCTCTTGAGAAGAGGAGATTAAGGGGGGATATGATCAACATGTATAATACATAAGGGGGATATGATCACCATGTATAAATACATAAGGGGGATATGATCAAACATGTATAATACATAAGGGGGGATATGATCACCATGTATAATACATAAGGGGGGATATGATCTCCATGTATAATACATAAGGGGGGATATGATCTCCCATGTATAATACATAAGGGGGGATATGATCTCCATGTATAATACATAAGGGGGGATATGATCTCCATGTATAATACATAAGGGGGGGGGGGGATATGATCTCCATGTATAATACATAAGGGGGGATGTGATCTCCATGTATAATACATAAGGGGGACGTGATCTCCATGTATATTACATAAGGGGGATATGATCTCCATGTATAATACATAAGGGGGGATATGATCTCCATGTATAATACATAAGGGGGGATATGATCTCCATGTATAATACATAAGGGGGGATATGATCTCCATGTATAATACATAAGGGGGGATATGATCTCCATGTATCAATACATAAGGGGGATATGATCTCCATGTATAATACATAAGGGGGGATATGATCACCATGTATAATACATAAGGGGGATATGATCACCATGTATAATACATAAGGGGGATATGATCACCATGTATAATACCTAAGGGGATATGATCTCCATGTATAATACATAAGGGGGACGTGATCTCATGTATAATACATAAGGGGGGATATTGATCTCCATGTATAATACATAAGGGGGGATATGATCTCCATGTATAATACATAAGGGGGGATATGATCTCCATGTATAATACATAAGGGGGATATGATCACCATGTATAATACATAGGGGGGGATATGATCACCATGTATAATACATAGGGGGGGATATGATCTCCATGTATAATACATAAGGGGGGAAATGATCTCCATGTATAATACATAAGGGGGGGATATGATCTCCATGTATAATACATAAGGGGGATATGATCTCCATGTATAATACATAAGGGGGGGATATGATCTCCATGTAATAATACATAAGGGGGGATATGATCTCCATGTATAATACATAAGGGGGATATGATCTCCATGTATAATACATAAGGGGGATATGATCTCCATGTATAAATACATAAGGGGGGATATGATCAACATGTATAATACATAAGGGGGGATAACATGTATAATACATAAGGGGGGATATGATCTCCATGTATAATACATAAGGAGGATATGATCTCCATGTATAATACATAAGGGGGGACATGATCTCCATGGGGGGATATAATCTCCATGTATAATACATAAGGGGGGATATGATCTCCATGTATAATACATAAGGGGGGATATGATCTCCATGTATAATACATAAGGGGGGATATGATCTCCATGTAAAATACATAAGGGGGGATATAATCTCCATGTATAATACATAAGGGGGGATATGATCTCCATGTATAATACATAAGGGAGGATATGATCTCCATGTATAATACATAAGGGGGGATATGATCTCCATGTATAATACATAAGGGGGATATGATCACCATGTATAATACATAATGGAGATATGATCTCCATGTATAATACATAAGGGGGATATGATCTCCATGTATAATACATAAGGGGGGATATGATCTCCATGTATAATACTAAGGGGGGATATGATCTCCATGTATAATACATAAGGGGGGATATGATCTCCATAATACATAAGGGGGGATATGATCTCCATGTATAATACATAAGAGGGGATATATCTCCATGTATAATACATAAGGGGGGATATGATATCCATGTATAATCCAGGGGGGGGGATGATCTCCATGTATAATACATAAGGGGGGATATGATCTCCATGTATAATACATAAGGGAGGATATGATCACCATGTATAATACATAAGGGGGGATATGATCACCATGTTATAATACATAAGGGGGGATATGATCTCCATGTATAATACATAAGGGGGGATATGATCTCCATGTATAATACATAAGGGGGATATGATCTCCATGTACAATAATAAGGGGATATGATCCATGTATAATACATAAGGGGGGATATGATCTCCATGTATATAATACATAAGGGGGGATATGATCTCCATGTATAATACATAAGGGGGGATATGATCACCATGTATAATACATCAGTGGTTCATATAGTGAACTCGGTGTAGAGCTATTCACTCTGAGGTCATCACAGAGGACAAGGGGAACTCTTTACATCTGAGGAAAAGAAATTTAATCTCCAAACACGGAAAGGTTTATAAGAGCTGTGGAAATGTGGAATAGACTCCCTCAAGAGTTGGTTCTGGCCAGCTCAGTGGATTGCTTTAAAATCCTGGATTCTTCCTGGGGGATCAGGAAGGAATATTTTCCCTGCAGGAGAAAATTGGATCATGCTTTGCTGGGTTTTTTGCCTTCCTCTGGATCAACTGTGGGTATAGGATTATAACTTTTTTTTTTTAATGATTGAACTGGATGGGGATTTGATCTTTTTCCAGCCAGACTAACTATATAACTATAACTATGAATGTTCACAGGAATGACTGCTGTGGGCTGGGCACCACCACAGCTGAGATCGTCACTGACGGAGTACAGCCATCTTTGAAACATTTAGGGCCAGTTCACACTGCATGCATTTCAGTTGCTTTTTTTCTGCATCCAAAGTGCACAGAAAGTAGGTTATATGGTTGTTAATGTCATAGTGCACATCAGCGCTTGCAGTTCCAGTATGTTACGGTTGCTGAAAAAAAGTAGAACAGGCTGCATTTTTCTTGCACAGAGAACTGTATCATAAATGCACTGGAAAGCACATATCCCTATTTAAATTGAAGAAAAAGAGAGGGGGAAAAAGTAAACCGGAACGCATCATAAATGCACCGGAACGCGGCAAAAATGCAGCAAAAATGCCCCCGAATGCACCAAAAACGTGTCAAAAACAGGCACACGGAAAACGCATCCAGAATGCATATGGACTGCGTTTCTATGGTGTGAACTTGCCCTTACAGCATTCAAATGTTTACTGCAGCTCAGCGTCTCATCACCGCACTGTGATTGAAGTCTATTGAAAATATCTGCGGCTTATGCATTCGTTCACAAGAAATGTCATCACCACGCTGTTCCATGCACGCACAAACATTTTTGTCTGCTATCTTGATTAATGGCCTCTGGACTGGCCCGTGACATGTGCGCCGCCTATCAATAATAGGACACACTTGCCACTTACTAGTGCGTGCAGTACTGCCATACTAACATACCTTTTTATACCTGTAAAATTAAAAGTGCCAGTTTGATTTGAACTCCCTTCATATTTTAAACAGACCAAAAGAAAACAGATAAGAGAGGTCCATTGTTAGGGTTTGCGTACACTTTTAGGGCCAGTCCACACCAAAAAAACGCACTCCAGATCCGTTCCGGTTGCATTTCTGTTTTGTGCGTTTTAATATGTTTTTATGCCTTCGGGTGTGTTTTTGATGCATTTCTAGATGCATTTCAGATTTTTTTGTCTTCTTTTTCCAGTTTTTTTTCACTGTACTGGGATCCGGTGTGTTTTTTATGCATTTTTGTCGCATTCCAGTACAGTTCTGTGGAGGAAAAATGCAGCATGTTCTAATTTTATTAGAAAAGGATTGGAACTGGATCGCACTGGAACTGCAAGCACTGATGTGAACTATGCCACTGAAAAGCATGTAACCTACTTTCTATGTATTTTGGATGCAGAAAAAAAAAGCCCTGGAACACATGTGTCGTGAACTATCCCCAAAAGAATGGATTCCTAGTTTGCATAAACTGCAATTCATATTGAAGGCAAGTGGATCCAAAGTAATCCTTCTCAGGCCAGTACCTACTCTACAAGTAAAAAGCTAAATTATAATATGTACATTTTGTCCTAGTTCAAATACAGAAATAAATATATAGGTACCGGTAAGTATTTTACAAACAACCTTTTTTCTTTTTTTTTTTTTTTTTTGTGTTTTTTTTATATTCCTTCGTTAAAGGAGAAGTGTGGGAAGACAAAAACCAAGCATACATACTCACCGCTCTGGCTGAAATATCAGTGTGATGATGTAGATGTCCCCCAATGGCTCTAACCTTAGAATTGTGTAATCACATGACA